ACAAAATTATGAGAATCACAGAGTACAGAAAAGTCCAGTGTGCTTCCCCCACAAGAAACCAGTTGCTTTCCTCTCTTAGGGGGCACAGAACTTGCCCTCTCATTGTGGCAGTCCCTGACACAAGTAGGATTTTTTTTTAATTACCTTCAGCAGTGTGGTGTCTAAAAGGTTTACTGAAATATATACTGTTCAATAAAGCAACTGTGGTTATGTTTCAAAATGTATTTTCTTGGTTTTTAATAAATTTAAACATGCATGTAAACGTAGTGGGTAAACAGATGTCTCGGGAAAGGCACTATGTGCTTGTATGGTCTTTGGTACTACTGGTCATCTTTTAGGAATTTGTACAATACAAATGCATTGTTTGGCACAGTAAAGATGTGCTGTGGGGGATTGAAGCACAGTTGAAGTTATCAGGCTGTGTAGGCTCACTCTCTGCATGTTTGTGTCGGAGGTAACATCTGAGTTAAGTAGCTGAAGTTTAACTATCAGTTGCCTGCACCTGACACCTCATGTGTGCTTCTACAGAGAAGTAAATAAAATAATAATTATCGGAGAGGAAAGAGAGTGGTGTTGAAGTCTGACTTTTGGAGAGTGCATGTTTTTTAAGGGAGAAGACTGCATGGTAATGGATGCCCATGGAAGAATGAATGAATGGGGAAAGGAGTGACAAGGAAAGAGGAGAATAAAAAAGACAGAAGAACAGGGGGAGTGAAGGGATAAGAACTGAGGAGAGGAAAGACAATGATAGGTGGAGAGACTTTGGCTTGTGATCAGAAATGAAAACAAGGTAAGAAAAGGAAGGGGTAAGAAAAACTCATTGAGAGACCTGCCCCAATGATTTTCAGGGTAATTATACTGTGAGAGGAATCAGTAGGGCTGCACATGGTTTCTCTGTGGATTTGTGCAGGTGGCTGCATTAGGAAGAACATTACCAACAGGTCAAGGGAAATGATCCCGCCCCTCTACTGAGCTCTAGCGAGGCCACATCTGGAGTGCTGTGTCCAGTTCTGGGCTCCTCAGTACAAGAGAGACATGGAGCTCCTGGAGCAGGTCCAGTGGAGGGCAACAAAGATGATTAAGGGACTGGACCATCTCTGTTACGAGGAAAGGCTGAGGGAGCTGGGCCTGTTCAGCCTTGAGAAGAGATATCTGAGAGGGGACCTCATCAATGTCTCTAAGTATCTGCAGGGAGGGTGTCAAGAGAATGGATCTGTGCTCTTCTTGGTGATGCTGAGTAATAGAACAAGAGGCAGTGGGCAGAAAGTGATGCACAGGAGGTTCCACCTGAGTATGAGGAAGAACTTCTTCACTACACAGGTGACTGAGCACTGGAAAAGCTTGCCAAGAGAGGTGGTGGAGTCTCCCTCACTAGAGATATTCTAGACCATCTGGACACAATCCTGTTCCATATACTCTAGGATGACCCTGCTTGAGCAGGGAGGTTGAACCAGATGAGCTACTGTGGTCCCTTCTAGCCTGACCCATTTTGTGATTCTGTGACACCGTTGCATTAATGCCAGCCCATGCTTTGGGCCAAGCTGCTGGCCTTGCTAGCATTTTCTTCCCTGGACATTTTCACCATCCTCCTCTTCCTCTCTTGCTGCTATGCCATTTGTGTGGAAAGAGGCCCTCGTTATTCCTTATTTTTGTCTCCATTGTTGTGTATCAGAGACAGAGTGACTGCACTTCACTGCCCTCTTCTCTAGTGATCGAGGATGCCTCTAGGGTGTTTTTTCTTTACAATTATCAGTTTCAGAATCTGAGAATTATTTGGGTATTTTGTGATAGGTAGTATTTAGTCATGAAAGTTTTAGGTGAATCTTATTATAAGATGAAAGAGCAAATGAATTGTAAAGGAAAAAAGGAGAAATTCATGGGGAAATGAAATTACATAAATAACATGAGTTCTTTTAGAAGTACTGAGGAAAAGTGTGGCATTGGTAGGAATAAAAAATTGGAAACTTAAATCTTAGATTTTTCTTTTTTTAATGGGACTGTTAGGGTGGGGATGTCTAATACCCAGCACAGCATAGGTCAAGCAATTTCAGCATATGTTCTGACCCCTGTGATAAATTCTGTGATGCAGAGAATCACTTCTGTTTAAGGTTACACAAGAGCTTTGGAGTTAAGCTGAGGATAGTAGAAAACATCCCCATAGCTAGATTAAGCTATGTACCATAAAAATAGTTTGTCGTTCAGTTAAAACTTGCTTGGCTGCAGCTTTATCTTGTTATGCTTTTTGTTATTGCCAGACTCTCTCTGGATCATACTTAGTAATGTTGTGCTCAGCTTCCTTCCACTTTCAGTTGAACAGATAAAGTATCTTTGTAACAGTTCTGATTATAAAGTCAGTGTACTGTCACTTGTTTCATTTTCTCCCAGTTTATTGACAAAGCAGTTGCAGAATGTTGGTCCAGTAATAGATTTGCAGAGTGAAACATTCTGCTGGGGTTTTAGGAAATAATTTTGCTGGTTTTAGCAGGGAAGGAATTAAAATGACAGGGGCTTGTCTCGTCAGTCCCCGTGGAAGCCTGCTCAGCTAATGAGCATCTGGAAGGTCGTGGCTCCAGGAGATCATGGCTCTTAAGTGCTAAACTGGTAAATGATGGTGCCTGTGCTGAGCCTCTGCTTGGCCAGAGTCAGAGCTGGGTGACACCTCTCCCCACACTGCCGGGAGCAAAGGGCTCTGCACACCTGGAGGCAGGTAACAAAGCAGGGGAGCCATTGGCCTGGCTGAGGGGCTGGCAGTGAGGGGAGCAGGCACTGGGCAGAGAGGGTCTCTGAAGGGTAGGTGGCACAGGCTGAGGAGACGAGGCTGGGCACATAGAGGCAAAGGGAAGGCAGGCACTGTCCAGGCAAGGGCATGTGCTGGTGTTAGTGGTGGTGGCAGATATTTACAGTGACAGCTGTAAAAATTAGAATACAGTCCCTTTCAGGTTCTGTAGCAGAAACAAACTCCTGCTTGAGTTTCTCCTGCTGTGAGAACATCAGCATGAAATGTGACCGTCACCCTGTGTGGGGTTGTTCTGCCCACAGAACAGCATCCTGCTGGCTTTTGTCGTAGCTCAGGTGCTTGCTCTGTCTAAAGGTTTCTAGCCCTACCAAGGGAAAACTGACAGTACCTGGTGGAATTTGTGCTTTTACTGTCTGTCCTTTTCAGAGGAGAAAAAGAAATTACATTAATCTTTTTTAAAAACCACAAAGTCCAGAATTTAGAAGCTGTGATCTTCAGGATTAATAAACTCAATATAAATTCAGCATATTGTGTGCAGTACAAGAACAGATACTGTTTTCCTCTAGAGGATACCTGTCTTGTCTTCTGCAGGGGCTGCTTTGGAGAGGAATGAAAAGCAGCATGCTGCAGCATGACCCATGTTTCATTTGCTGTGTAAATTGAAAAGTTTAGAGTTGATGAGTCTGGGGATTGCAGGGAGGAAAAAGGCATGGTCTTGAGATCCCCAAGCTGGATTTTGTCCCTGCCATGAGCTTCCTCTGTAAGCAATATTAATTTTCAACGCTGTGTCCCCATCGTCTTCTGACATGCTTTTTTGAGCCATAGGGATGTAATCTGGTAGCTGACTGCTTAAACCTTGTGTGAAGTCTGTCATGCTGAACAAACATGGAAGTATCAAATTCAGGAATGTGCAGTCAGAATTTTGCCGCTTAGTAATTTTTTGAGAATTTGAATTTGCACTGTTAACTGTCCTTGAATGCAGGGGGGTGATGTGTATGTGCTGTGGATTATGTATCTGGGTACTCGAGGACTCCTACTACCCGAGCATTTCTCAGGTAACTAAATTAGAAATGGCAACAGAAATCTGTTGAAGCAGCAACTTCATTACTCAGAAGGGTTCTGTGTGTAACTTATTATATTCTGTTTGTGCAAAAAAGTAAGTAAAAGGAACAGCTTCTGTGCTCAGCAAGGCCCGGAGCTGGTTTTACTTCTTATAGGAATTAATTTCACAGCCTGTGGATAGTACTTGTTAAAACCTTCCTCTTGCATACAGACCTTCCCAGACAACTGGTTGCTTTTCAGGGAATTGAAAAAGCATTCATTACTGTAGAAATATGTGCAGTGAAAATAGAGACTGCTGCCTGGACTGATGTATTGGACAGCTTTGGTGATGGCCAGACACACCTTCAGTTGCACTCCTTGTGTGTTGGAGAGCAGGTTCAGGAAGCAGATATGCTTATGTTGGATTTCTGAAGAGCTTTTCCTACCACTTTTTTTTTTTTTAACCTGCAAGAAAGATTTTTTTTTTAATTACATATAAAGGTGACAATAATCAAGCTTGGATTTCAGGTTAATGCAGTAACACTAGATCTCATTGTGATTAGACAGGCATGGAAAAATGAGAATTGTTTTTATCGGCTTTGCCAGTTGAGCATCTGGTGATGCCTAGGGGGTGAGTGACATAGTGCATTGAAAATTAATTGACTATCAACTTCACATTGCTCATTCAGAGCCGTACAAACGTTTATTATTCATGATGTGTGGCATCCTTCCAGGTTTTGGATGGACCGCACTGAGATGACGGTGCAGAAGGCACAAAAAGGAACACGTCACGGGGGGTTAAAACTGATATTCACTGCTCCCTGTCCCATCTCAGACTTGCTCTTTGGCTCTGCCCAAAGCATCTACCGTCCCCTATATGTAAAATGGATGCACTAAAACAAACTCACTTTTCGGTGAATTAGCATTTGATCAACTTTAATTTCTACATCCTTGTGTAGGAACAACTAAATGGCATTATTTACCAGCTGTTGTACTATTTTTTTCATTACTAAGTGGAGTTTTTGAATATGTTATAATGACTGACACTCATTACAAATTTTGAGTTTCTGCTTTCTTAATGTGGATCTTTCTGCATGGCAGCAGTTTTCTGCTAACTAATATGTATTCTAGAACTGTGCTCCCAGATTAAATCTATCACGTTTTTATAGTCTGTCTCCTCTGGAGCTGGCAACAAATGAGGCACGCTAATGTGCACCAGGGACATCATTAGAGGGGTATATGTGGTGTTATTGGTTAGCTTTGTTCCTGCCTTGGCATCATGGACATGAACCTGATTTCTCCATGTATTCTCCTTTCCCTGCAGGTATTGAGAACCTGCCATTTGAATTGCAGAGAAACTTCCAGCTCATGCGAGATCTGGATCAGAGGACAGAAGGTGAGACTTAAAGATGGTTTTGTTGCCAAGACAATAAGTATGTAGCTTGACCAGCTTTTCTTTGCTTTGCTTTAATCATGGGGATCTCCGGGCAGGGAAGAAAGCCTAAAGCTGCTCCACTCATTCAGTCTCTCTTACTGGAGGGCACTGTAGCATTGTGTATATTTACGTATTTAATGGTAAACTTGTTTCAGACCTCAAGTCGGAGATCGATAAGTTGGCCACAGAGTATATCAGCAATGCACGAACTTTGTCTTCAGAGGAAAAACTGGGGCTTCTCAAGCAAATCCAGGAGGCCTATGGGAAGTGCAAGGAGTTTGGGGACGACAAGGTTCAGCTGGCTATGCAGACCTACGAGATGGTATGAAGGGAAGTGTCTAGTGCTTATCGGGTGAAAGTCCAAACTAAAGCCCCTAGTCTTGAAAGGCCTTGATCTCTCATTTTTAGGCCCTGCCTGCTCTTTACTTCTTGGCTCTTTAGTGCAAGCCCCCTCTTCTTTGCCCTCCTGGGCTCTGTCCTGTGGTGACTCCTGGTCACTGTTGTCTTTGCAGGTTGATAAGCACATCCGGCGGCTGGACACAGACCTCGCTCGCTTTGAAGCAGACCTGAAGGAGAAGCAGATAGAGTCGAGTGACTATGACAGTTCTTCCAGCAAGGGCAAGAAGAGTGAGTACCACCACTGGGCTGCAGATTGATACAGGAGGCAGCCAAGTGACTATGGAAGTGGTGGGGATGAAGGCAGGCACTGGAATGGTACAGATCAAAGACTGTTGCGCTGGAATCTGAAGGACAGGTAAAAAGATGGTGACCTGTGAGCTTCTTGTGTGAGGATATTCAAGGCCACTAGATAAAATTAAGATGGAGTGCATGGCCCAAAGCCGATATACATTCCAAAGTAGGAATGTATTTTAGTGCTGGAGAGGTTGTCACCATGTCAAGTGTCTGTTTTGATGGGGTGACAGATGCAACACCTTTTTCTCTTCTTATCAGAGGGCCGAGCCCAGAAAGAGAAAAAAGCTGCCCGTGCTCGCTCTAAAGGGAAGAACTCTGATGAGGAAGCACCAAAAACTGCCCAAAAGAAATTGAAGCTCGTCCGCACGTAAGTGTTTTAAGAGACTTGCAGGAATCAGGAGCAGCACTAGAAATCAGACCAAGGAAGGCCCAGCCTGAGAAGGATAGCTGATCCCCACCCAGACTAAAAGGGTTTATCTCCTGTCCCTTCTTGGGAAGCAAGAAGAAGGGAATCTTTTTAATTCTTTCAGGGGTGGGTTGAAGAGGAAAGCAGGTCACTTCACTGGAGTTGGGTGTATGTGCTTAAATAAGAGAAGCATCTGTCTCTGGCAAACAAGGACATTGTCTTTGGAGACATGAAGGGACTCAAAGCCAGTTATTTTGCTGACCTACTTTATTCCTGTCCTGCAGTAGCACAGAGTATGGGATGCCTTCAGTCACCTTCGGAAATGTGCACCCTTCGGATGTACTGGATATGCCCGTGGACCCCAATGAGCCTACTTACTGCCTCTGCCACCAGGTCTCCTATGGGGAGATGATTGGCTGCGACAACCCAGATGTAAGAGCCTGCACTTGATGGAAATGGGGGAGAAAGGCGTGGAGAGAAGGCTCTTGGATGGAAAGTCTTGTCCTGCTTGGGTGGGGCCTGATACAGCAAGCAATGGCAAGGAGACAGGGAGTTTGGGAAGGGCAAGGGCGTGGCATACCATGACCTGTTAAGTGCCTCTTTTGTCGGGGTTTTCCTTAAAATGTTTTCTTGCCCCTAAACTTAGCAAGGGACAAGGGGAGTTCTCCTTGCTAGCAGTGTGTAGATTGGGTGTGAGTCTTCATTCCCTGATTGCTGCTAGGGATTTAGGAGTTTGTGATCAAATGCTGGGAATCTCCAGTAGCCCAAAAGCAATGATTTCGAAAGAAAACTGCTCTTTAACTGACTGCTCTCCATCCCAACAGTGTTCCATTGAGTGGTTTCATTTTGCCTGTGTGGGTCTGACAACAAAACCAAGAGGGAAATGGTGAGTGAACAAGCAACCTGGAGGGCCCATTGGCCTTTGGAAAAGGGAGGTCGTGGGTGGCAGATGGGAGAGTACACTTAAAAGACCTCATAAGAATGAAAAATTGAATTAAGGCTTTGTTGGAGACCTTGGAAAAGGTCTTTTGGGACTGTATGTTTGAGGTTCATGTCATGCCCTCAACGTTGGCTTTGTACTTCCCTTTCTAACAGGTTCTGCCCTCGCTGTTCGCAGGAGAGGAAGAAGAAGTAAATTCCCATGAAACCTCAGAACTGCTGCAGGAGCTCTCTTCCCCCTGCCAGGGCCTCGTCCCAGTTCCCCCAGCCCTTGGGGCCTTGGCTGAGGGGGAGTCTTGCCCTGTTTGTGGTTTGGGCCATCCCTGGAATGGTGTGTACCCTCACAGTGGTTCCTGTGTGTTCTGTATCCCGGGTTGCTTCCAAGTCCCTAAGGGAGGACTTCTCTGTGTACTATTCCAAACAGGTCTCTGAACCTCAAAGGGAATGAATGAGGGCACCAGGGTAGCCACCAGATTCCCAGGGATTCAGGTAGCCCCTGATTTTCCTTGGCTTTCCTTCAGCCTCCTCAGAGTTCATTGCCTACTCTGTGCTTAGAGAACAAGGCTATGGGATGGGGGAAGGAAAGGAGGTAAGTCTTCAGCATTTTAGGTCATTGATTTTCCTGGATCTTTTTCAGGAGAGAGGGAGTAACCAGGCTACTTCTTAATCTAGTGGACTGGTTGAGAAACTGAAAACCTGATGTGCTCCCTGTCTTTAACCATTCCATTACTGGCATTGAGCAGCCTCTTTTGCTGGGGAGGGGAGGAGGCGGAGGGAGTGTTTAGAGCTAGCTTTGTCTCCCTTATTCCTGGGGTAACCCTGCTGGTCTGGGAAGCACATTATGGGAAGGAGGAAGAATTTCTAACCACATGGGGAGAAGTGGCTTGGTCTAGCCTGTCTTCCGTCTCCAAAATTCTGCCTTCCTTTTGTGCAGTGGTGCTTCTCCATTATGTTGATGGTGGAAAGTTTGGGGATCAGATCCCACTTGTATAAAACAGAATGAAATAAAATTCATTGAAACAAATATTGTGTTTGCCTTGCTGTTACCTCCAAAATAAATTGTGGCAATTGGTCTCTCTAGTTCTTTCTCTCTTAGCTCTGCTTTTATTGTAAATGATGAATGTGGTACAGATTTCTCATCTACCAATCCTAAATAGCATTAATAAGTGACATTCTGCATAAGTCAGGCTTTAAAATGTACCTAATGTACTTGCAAAAGGTTACTAAGCTTTCTAGTAAATGTGAAAAACATCTGCCCCATCAGTCGTGCCCTCACAAAAAGGTGGACATTTATTCACATTATTGTTTGATCATCTACTTCATCAGTTGCCTTCTCTTAAATGCGGAGGGCTGGAAGTTATTGAGGTCAACACTCCCTCTGGCTGTTGGGCAGCACAGCTGAGAAAATAAGCCATCAGGACAAGCCATGTGCCTCCAAGAATGTGGGTAGGTATTTCCAGATATCCTGATAACTTGCTCCCTAGTGGGTCACAGTCACCTTGTTACCAGAAATGTTGGGCTCCAAAACAATTACTGAAGATGTGTCTCTCTGTAGTGTCTGTAGGTAACTGTGAGGAGATGACCCACACTGAAGCTCCCCTTTATCAATTCCATTGGCAGGACCTGGAGATGGATGAGCCCAAGTCTCTTCTTGCTGCTTGTGGTCTGCTCATCAGGAAGGTTTAGGATTTTCACCTGAAACACAGGATGTTTTCCTCACACATATAACTTGTATGAGGATCCATGGAAGATTTTGCTCTTGTAGTCATGAAGCCAAAGCTCTGCTCAGGTTCAGAGGACTGTAGGTGAAGAGCAATGTTATTCCCACCTTGTCACTGTATGGGGACTCTCTCAACCATCAGCTCAGGAGCTGGCGTTTTCTGCTCAAGGGAGTTAGCATTGAGCCAGTCTTTGCTTTTTCTTCGAGAAGGGATCTGTGGGTTCTCATTTTGCACTGAAAAAAGTAGAGGTGGATTCTTGCCCAGGCTATGGCTCATGTTTTTGGTTCCCCAACCACAATCTCAGTCTGAATCCCCAGATTTTATTAGGCCACTCCCTGGGGCTTCCCTTCTTAAACAGAGAGAAAGTAAATTCTGGAAGATGTTGGCTATGTATCTGGTACAGTTTTCATAGTGGGGAGACACTGTGCCGTGATCCAAGGGGTGAGAAAGCTGTGGCAGGAGAAAAACTTTATTGAGCTGGAGTTAATTCAGACAGCAGCAGGGTGCTCAACTGACGTGGTGGATGTGGTCTGAACTTGAAGATGGGCTTTGGGCAAAGTGCAAGGGTGACGAAGGATGCAAGCAGTCCTCCAAGCAGTTTGGTTTTGAGGGGACACGACTGTAATTGTAATGGCCAGCGTTAGCAGCAAGTTCTCTAGGAACTGTGGGCTAGAGGGGCGTTTGGAGCACGAGCCCTGTAATGAAGCCACTGCTGACCAAGGATAATAAGTAGCTTATAAAAGCATGTGGTATCATGTGAGAGTGTGTGTGTGGGCAGGAGTGTGTTGCACACCAAACCAGCAAACAAGATTGCCTATTTTTCAGGTGCTGCTCATAGGAGTAACTGTGTTCCTGACGGCTCTGATTTGGGAAACACAAGTCTGGGGTTTTCTGCAGTCAGCATAGGATGCTGGGAGGGGGAGGTAGACTGGAATGTTTCTGTTTTCAGACTAAAACTTGGCCACAGCGTTACCATTGTGCTTCTTGGCACTCTGAGAATTGAAACATTCTGATGACCTAATGCAAAACAGATGAGAAACACCTTGGCTGGGTTCTGATTCAGTGCCAGAAAATGGCAAGCAGTGCTGCTGTTTTACTTCCCTGCCACTCTGCTATTGTGTCCTGCTTCTGTCCAACAAAGGGGTGCTTCAGCCAGCAGCACGGAGCATTCAGGGGACATTTGCTGCAGCTGAGGAAATGCTCTGACTTACAGGAAGAGGGAACTTAGACCAAAATTTGGATAAAGCCTGAGCATTTTTAAATGGCTTAGAAGTATAAATGCAAATGAAAGGACATTAAAATCTAACCTTGGAAGGGAGGGAATAAGGGCAATAGCTGTGCAATATGTAATCACCAGAGGAGGAAAAAAATCAGTAGAAGCTGGAAATTACAAAGTACAAAAATGAAGCCAGTGGGAACAAAGCCTGTAAGTGACAAGGCTGGAAACATAAGCAGCTTTTTTTAGAATGCCTTTTGTTTTTGATATAATTGAACATGGCACATGTCCATTACCAACTGCAGATAGCAGAATTGTTTGTAATGAGAGGAGGGGAAGTGTTCTGTAAATATTTATTCTGTGTTGGTGCTGGTGTCAATATGGGGATGATGTACTTCCTAGGCAAACAGTAAAGGAGAGTTTTAAATAGCATCTATTGGGGTCAAGACTTTTTTGATCAGCAGTCTTCAATAAATTATGTCTGTCGTCCTGTGAAAGCCACCCAAAGGAGTCTGTGGACTGCTCTCTGAAAGGCTCTGGACTGCTAAGGAAAGCCCACAAGGCTGGAAAAGAGCCAGCTCTGTGCTGGTCCTTAATGATGTCAAGAAGGCTGCCACAGCAGTCCAGATGTGAAATACTGAAACAGCAGGGAAGTAAATTGCTTCTCTCTAAAACAAGCAAGAAATCCAGGTCAACAAAATAAAATCAATTTGACTGGAAGTAGCAAAAACAGGTCAGTCAAAAACTACTTGAATTTTTTTTTTTTAAAGATCTTGTTAATAGTTACCTGCATCACTCTAGTGGTAACGGGATCTGAAAAGTTTACTTCTCCTAGAGTTGAAGTGCTTAAAGCAGGGTTACACTAAGTTAAAGTAATCATGAGCTCCTTTACAGAACTGGCTAGCTTGCAGATTTCCTGGAACAGCTGTCAGTGCAACATAAACACTTTCTAAAATGGTGCTGGAGAAATTGCCCTTTTAGAGTGATTGGAAATATCCTAGTTGATGAGTAAAGTCAAGTCTGAGTTTCAGGAAGCTGCAGCCATTCAGCACAACAAGAGGGAAGATTTTTCCAGCCTCTTTAAGCCCATTTATTAACAATAATTGGTCATGCACACAAATGACCAGTTTATCTTGTCCAGCTGTGATTGCCCCATCTTTGGGCATCATTCCTAGTAGCTGGGCAAATATGTTGATGAGGATGTTCAGCAAAGTATTCCCCTTTCCAGCGAGCAGACGTGCTCACCAAGCTCCCGTCCCTCGGGCTCTGCCACCACCATGTCCATTGCATGATGTGTACAGGAGCCATCACCTTCCACCAGTGGGAACACCTTCCTCCCCTGCTTTTGAATAAAGCGATTGAACTCGCCCCATAGCTCAGCAACATCCAGCCTTCCATTAAGCACTTTTGAGGTGTTACCCAACCATACACTCGGAGCCGCGTGGTGGACAGTCCCCCCCTCGCTGTCTGTTTAACAGCTTGTATAAGGCTTCTGTGCTTAAGCAGACTCATTGAAACTCAGCTGTAGGGTGTGTTTCTGTGAGACTCAGATTATCACAGATCAATTTTTATGAGACAGTTACTCAGAACTGGAAACACTGATTGGAAAGTACCCCTGGAGGTCATCTGCTTCAGCTTCCCCTTCAAAGCAGGGCTGCTGTCCGTCCTAAATCAGGTCAGATATATGCTGAGTACCGAAACTCTGTAGCAGAGCAACTAGGATGAGAAGCAGCAGTTGGGTGGCTCAAGATGAAAGGTGATATTACTGATGATCTTAAGACTCAATTCAAATGCCAGCCAAATCAGTCCAGAGATCGCAGCTTGGCAGTGAAGAAGAAAGACGTTCCCAAGAGACAACTTGCTCATACTGAAATGACTTAAAATGTCTGCCCAGACACAGCTGGTTTGACAGTTTCTGAGCCATTGTTCCTTTTATAATCAACCATTGCTCTACTTTCTCTCTGCCATGTGAACCAGGAGGATGAACTGTGAAGATGTTGACGAGTTGAGTGGCAACATCTGCTGCTTTAAAGCAAGCAAGGGGGACCTGCAGCATTGAAGGAGTTAAAGACTAACAGAAGGAAAGAAAATGCCCTACCTTTCTTTCGAAAGACAAGTGAAGGAAGTTTCTCCAACTCTGTTGCCTAGTAGTTACAGGATCAAAAGAAACATAGCTGTTTTTATCCAATAAAATGCATTTCATTTATAAAAATAGTCAAACATCTTGATTAATTTATGCTAATTTATGTTTATTTTTCTGAATACATAAAAGAAAGTTAAGTGTTAGTTTTAAAAAAGACATTTTTGCCCAAGGCTTAAGGACAGGCAAAGCTGTGACAAACACTAAGCTCCTAAAGCTTGGTGTGAAAGAAATGTTCAGCAAGTTGTCCACTTTAGTCTGTTTTTGCAGGTGTACAATTTAATTTCAGTGGCCTGGGTTGCTGCCATTGGATAAATAACTCATTCAAAGTTGAAAACCCATCTGGGAGTAGGAAAGGAATTATTTTTTACACATTGACAACAAGCAAGGAAAAAATGTGTGAGACCCTGAGATTTCCAAAAACCTGAATGATGCAGTCATTGGAAGAACCCATTTAGTTACCACAGAAAGATTGAGGTGGGAAGAGGTCTCTCTGGTGCTCTGTAGTCCAAGCCCCCGCCCACAGTAGGGATAAATTTGTGGTCAGATCAGGTTGTTCTTGCACTAAACAAACCTGCCTAAAAAGACTAGAGCAGTTGGTTCAAACATGCTTTTATGTAGCCACTCCATCTTAGGTTGTATTAATAATTCAAGAAACCATTTTTAAATACTGTTTTTGCTATCAATTAAATATTCCATTTTCTAAATGTCAAGTAAAAAATGCTTCATTCACTATTTCCTAACAAAATAAAATGTAAATTAAGTATTTGAATTAATGCATGTTATAACTCTACAGTGCTTGTATAAATGTGAATAGATTAACATATCTACCAAGTTAAAAATGAGTGCCAATTTTAATATGAAGTCTATATTTATCAGCATATTCGCAGAGCTCTCAGCCAATGACAGTAAACCCACCAAAATAAAGTACAAATGAGGAATGAAGATTATTTAACCTGTGATTAAACTCAGCAATTCATAGAATTTTGGTTCGAATCAGAACACCCTCTAATGCTTTTGTCTGTGGAGATGGAGATCTCTGCCCTGCTCTGCATGGGCTGGTACCCACATCCCTTCCCACAGGGCCACAGCTACCAGGTTGAAGGTGTTCAGTGTTGGGCTCTTCAAGTAGGTTTTGCTTCATGAAAGACAGTGCTGTACTGTCTGACTCCCTACATCAATGGAGCAAACGTTCCCCTTCCCTGTCTGCTCCTTTAGGGATATGTTTTAGTAAATGAAGCAGTCTTCCCTTTCCTTTGATGCTCTGTAAGGAATGAATAACCTGGCATGTCTCAGGGGCTCTGTTGGCCCCTTCCTTATTCCACTGTAACATCTACACAAGCATAACTGCTCATGGCCTCCTCCATAAGCAAAGAGACTGGTGTTTCTTTTCTAGGAACATACTGAGTCAGGAGAGGTTTAGGTTGGATATCAGGGAAAGGTTCTTCACCCAGAGGGTGGTTGGGCGCTGGAACAGGCTCTCCAAGGAAGCGGTCACAGCACCAAGCCTGTCAGAGTTCAAGAAGTATTTGGACAACATCCTCAGGCACATTCTGTGATTCTTAGGGTGTCCTGCACAGGGCCAGGACTCAATGATCTTCATGAATCCCTTCTAACCCAGATTTTCTATGATTCTGTGATATACAAACATATTTCTGTTAACAGCACTGTTGTTATGGCTGTACAAGTACTCTGATTATTTCAATCCAGCTAACATGAGAAAGTAGATTTAGGTATTTTTTACCAGAATTGCCTTTATGAAATCACTGTTGGGGTTTTTTTTCACCATAACAGGTGTTTTTGAAAGCATTTTTCTATCATCTCTGCTTACATTTCAAGTTATTTAAGACACAATCTTTCTAGGAATGCTGCTTGACAAGTCACTGAGTCTGGAATTCACACTTAATCTTTGAAGCCTCCATCTTTATGAGTTTTTGAAGTGATCGGACATCCTCTCCTTGCCCAAACCCCCCAGTTTAACTCAGAGAGCTGACACACTCTGACAAACATCAGACATCATTCCTTCCTCTTTGGTTAAGCTCTCTGTGCCTTTTTCTTGGCGGGCTAGGCCAGTGTGCATGTTGAAGAACCATGCTATGCACTTGGCTCTGCAGTCCCCCTGTCCCTGCTGGTCCTCTACTCACTACAGCCAAGACCCAGCTTGGAACCATGCTGCTACAGCAATGTCAGCCTCTCCTGCCTATATCTGATATCTCTGGGCATGCCTCTTGCCATCCTGGGCTGAGGACTGGGCACCATACACCATGCACCTGCACAAAGTAGAAGGGAAACAGTGGACTGGGGGATTGGATCGGTGCCTTGAGTCCGGGATGGTGATATTTTTGAGTGTTCGCCCTGACGTTCTCATGATTCTATTACCTGATGAAGTGACAATATAACCTTGTAGCAGAGGAGGGAGGGTCTGCGAGCCACTGTCCTGGATTTTTCAAGAGTTTTTCAGACACTGATGCTGGTGGTAGTGTTTGTGGTGGAACATGCAGCACGGAAAATGCTGAGAAACAGCTGAAGTATTTTAGACGACAACAAGACTAACTCGGGAGAGGGGCTTGTCTGGTGGTGGTCCCTCACAAGGGTGGTCCCTCACAAACCAGACAGGCTCTTATAAAGCTCAGAATCGACACAGCAGTCGGATAGCAACATGGAAAATGCCACTCCAGCAAGTTGCTATCCAGCTGTTACCCTCCCTGCTGCTGGCATCAGGCGCTCTGTAGGCCTGGGGGTTACAGCTGTGCTCATCAGCCCGCTGAGCTCCAGATGGCACAGGAACTCTGTCTGCAGGAAACTGCTGTGTGGTGGCTCTGAAAACAAGGGTGCAAATCTGCTTCAGTGTAAAAATTATACAACTTGTAATGTGGCATTAGAGGTACAACCTTAAAAGTACCAGGTCAACATTCAGAAATCAGAAAAAATGGAATTAATATCATCCCTGTGCTGTGCATTTCTGACCACTATAGTTGCTTGAAGCAGCAGTAGGGAGTAGACCACCCCCCAGCTCTCAGCATTGATGCATTGTGTCCAAATTACTGTTCCTCCCATCCTTGTCCCTCCCCTAAAGATGACTTCTTTTTTTTCAGAGGCTTAAACAAGTGCCCCACAGCCAGCTGTCACACACCCAGCCAAACAGCACAGCACTGTCTCCTGCGCTTGCAGCCTCCCAACCCTGCTGGGTGCATGCTGGAGACTACCTGGCTCCTTCTTGCGGACTGTGAGTTCCTTGAAGGATTCTGACAACCTGAACCAAATCCAGGGTGTGCCACAGTGCATGAGAAGTGCTAAGTAGCCAATCTGTCCTCACATCTCTAACCACCTTCTTTCCAAATCTGCAGTAGCTACCCACAGGCACTGCTACTAGAGCACCCACCAAGGGTGACTTCTTTGACAGCTCCTTTGTCTTCTGCCTTGTGTTTGAGTTCTCAGTGTATGTCTGGGGACTCTGGTCCATTCGTTCTTGTTTTCTGTTTTCATACACCATAAATCTCTTGCTGGCACATGTAGACAGAGGCTGTGTAGCCAGCACCTGACAGACATTAATAACGTTGCATGGTATTGCCCAGAGAAGTTGTGGATGCCCCATCCCTGGAAGTGTTCAAGGCCAGGTTGGATGAGGCTTTGAGCAACGTGGTCCGGTGGAAGATGTCCCTGCCATAGTGTGGGGTTCAACTAAATGATCTTTAAGGTCTTTTCCAACACAAACCATTCTATGATTCTATGACATGCCACATCAATGTGCTTTCCTAAGGCCAGCATTTCCATCAGCCACTGAGATCAGCACTGAACTTCTCCAGGAAGCTGCTCAGTCAGGGCAACAGAACTCAACCTGGTCTCTGTTGTCACAGGGAAGTGGAGAGGATTAACAGAGCTGGGGAGCTGAAGGCCCTGGAATTGTCTAAAATCAGCAAAAAAGCAGTATCTCTCAAGCTAAGCAATGGAAGACCAGGAACTGGCTAAAATTTGCAAGCACCAGTAGGGTTACCTGTTTTAGCACGAGTGGCAAGAGCTAGCCGGAAAAAGTCTCATGCTCACTGTCTTTCTAAAGAGCAGCAAAACCATCCAAAATTCAGTGCTGCTGCTAAGGGGTCAGGCTTCAAGCTTCTCAGAAGCACTACCTTCCAACAAGACACCTTAGAGCAAACTACAGCTTGTCTCCTACCAGGACCTGCACAGTTACGTGGTGCTGCCAGACACCTCTTTAACAGACTACATGTCTGCAGTGATTTGAGCTTCTGCCTTGACAGCCTGGATGGCCACAGGGCACTGGCAGGAGATGTGTCAGCCATGCAAGCACAGCCGGCACATCCGCAGCACGCTCTGCAGCTGTTTCATACAGCAGAGCCGCTGGAATCTCCCAGGATTTGCCACAGAAGCGACTCCTGCAGCAGCATACTGCTGTGGAGCTGAAAACTTTGTCAGCTTTGCCCACAGCTCCTCCTTCATTCCACAAGGGTGTCACTCTGCAGGCTGTGGGGTGACACGGCAGGCACGCGGAGCCGCTGTGCCAGCCTGTGTTCTGCTTATGGCTGCAGTTCTTGGAGCTGCTGTGCCAAGCATTTTCCTTCCAACCTGACAGCTGCTTGCCCCTGACGGTGATGGTTATGTCTTTCCCTCTCGCATCAGAAAGTGCCCAGCTGCGGGAGGCACTGTGTCGGCTCCTATCCATTGGGTGCACATGTGGATTGCTGTGCCTGTGCCCCGCACTTCATGTGTCTCTGTATTAAGAACTGGGTATGGGTGTGGTTCTCCCTCAAATAAGTCCTGTGGAGCTCTGTGCATCTCTGCACTGGTGGCCCCAAAGCTCATTTTACCGGGAGCATTCCTGCTTTTCCTGAGACGGCTTTACTGTGTAGAGTACAGTGCTCAGGGTACCTGTGCCAGATGCAGAGGAAGACCAGCTGGTGCTCTCTTGACTCCCTGGGAGTTCAGAAAGTGGCGTGGCTGCCCAGAAGAGATCAAGCCATCTTCCCATTGCATCCTGAAGCAAGCTGGTGCTGGGACACGTGTGCTTTCCAATCCCAGGTGTTGTCCCTTTCCCCTCCAGAAGAGCATAAAAT